TTCCAGCAATTTGCCTTAAGACATCATGCCATGCACCACTAGTTTTTTTTTTAGTTCGTACAAATTAAAAAAGTGTTGTTATGCAAAAATAACTTAGTAACGTGCAAATACTTTGGCTAGCCTCCAGATAGATTGCAGTTTCCAATTGCACATCCATGCAACAACCAATGATGCTATAAACCAATATATTCATCAATGTATAATTTTAATACAGAGCACGTGTACTACATTTTAATATATCTAATAATAGGCAATAACAATATTCACTATAATATTCAATACTAAAATCGATATATTTTTCTTCAACGGAATATGAACAACTGTGACAAAAACTTAATTAAGACTTCGAATAGAGCACCTTCCAATAAAAAATATTTCGAAATGACATTTTACTTGATTTCCATTACAGAATTCTGTGAATTTCCAAGAAATTTTATGGAACAATGATACAATGATATTACATCATTCGGTATACGACAATGATTTTCATTTACGATTTCTACTCAAATTTGACCTATTCAGTTTTCTACGCACTATTCAATATTTTGAGTTAACAATGAGTTCGTAAAATAATAATATTATTGAAATGATCTACGAAAGATAGATCAATAAGCTAAAATTCTAGCAGCAACTTTTTAACATGTTGTCATCATCATATCACGGAATAATTTTGAATTAAATCGTATTGACAGCCGGTTGGTTTTATGTTGGATTGTATATGAGTACGCCTTTCATCATCTACTGACGAGTAAGAAATCTTTTCTTTGTGAAGTATTTGGTTTTGTACATTATTCCATCATATCACATCAAAATTCCCACATGAATTTTGCGGGTTGTCCATTCCAAGTGTTATTTTGTTTCACACTTTCATATGATACTACACATGAACTAAAATAACACCGTATTAAATATTCTCATAAAATATAGAGATTGAGCGGATAGTAAATTCAGGCATAAATCATAGCATTTCAGATTAAGCTTGGATTTTCCGCAAGGTCACAATGATAGTGAAAACACATATGTAAGATCAAAATACACATTCTATTAAGCGCGTTATAGCTGGTAGTGCAGCTTAAATATTAAGGGTGAGAAAATATCAGATAAATATAATATTTTATTTGGGTCACATTTTATATAAAAACTCACATACTTATTGCTATATGTTAAAGCGATATGCAAATGACAGCCAGAAAGTAGTAGAAAAATTCTACCTATTTATAAAACAATCTTTTACCCTAATTGGCATTTAGAGATCTATTTGACACTATTACAAATATATTTTCAAGTACAAAAATAAAGTTGCTTAATCTCTTCATTAACCAGTTAACTATGTCGCGCTCATTGAACAATGCACAGTTTTGTGTCGTTCGAATCGAACCATGACGAGTATATTCGTCAATGACTAGGTAAGTGCGCTCGTAAGACGTCGGATCAAAAATATATTTTGCAAAATTAAAACTTTTACTTATCTGGTTAACATAAGCATATATTATATACTTATTAACCTAATAAAACGTATTAAATTCAATAAAATATTGCAAGTAAGAATAGTTTCTGATAAAAAGCAACAACTATTTTTGAAATAAACAGGAGACTAGTAGTGCTCATGGCATCGTGCCTTAAGGCAAATTGCTGGAACTTCTCGTACCAAACATTATTATTTTTTTTAAAAACGATTAACATTTTTGAAAAAAAATTACTTCGAAGAAATTAGATTTTTGAGAAACTATAAATTTGACAAAAAATTACTTTTTTTTGAAAATTTCTTTATTTTGGAATTCTGAAATATTTTGGAAATTCTGAACTTTTTTTCAAAGCAATCGTACTGCTTCAACTGCATAGAGACGATATGTAAAAGCGCGTAAGCGCCGCGTCGGCGGCTAACGGATAAACATTGGTACGGAACCCATAGAAATGCAAACAATTTATACTTATTGTTAAAATCTCTATAAAATATCTGATAATTTGATGTGCATATGCTTAATGATCATGTTTAAACGCCAAATGATTTTTTTTTACTTTTTCCTTTAGATCTCCGAAACCGCTAGACCTGCCTTAATGAAAATTTGATCTGAATTCTTCATCTTGTCAATACAAGTAAAATGTTTTTTGAATTATTAAAATCGGACGCTCCGTTCCCTTAAACCTGAGTTACCATCTTTGGCACTTTTTGCCCCGTATCTTCGGAACGGCTAGACCTGCCTCCGTCAAAAACTAATCAGCACGTCTCCTTATCAATACGAATCGAATGTTTTTTGAATTATTCAAATTGCTTCATTCGTGTTCCCGAAATCGTCGACGAAAATTTGTATCCGCACACACATATATACACATACACACACACACATCAATTTTTTTTAAGGTATGCCGAAATGTTCAGAATGTTTTGAAACGTAAAGATATATAAAAAATTTCATTTTCGATTTTTTTGCGATTACTATAACTTGCCCTACGGGAAGTTAAAAATGTTAACAAAATAGCTAAATCTGAATTCTTATTGATTAAGTCGATTATTTACACATATCTTTAAGTTCCTACAACTTGCCTTGAGATAAATTGCTACTTTCAAATACTTATTTTAAATAGGTATAGCCTCAAAATATTCTTAAAATCTTGAGATTTGAGAATAAATGTCGTCTAAAAAATTGTAATTGATTTATTCGTAGTTGTTCACCAGTATATTCTTTAATATTATAAAATTCTACCACGATTGCATTACTAAAGCAGTGCACAATTATAATTTACAAATAAACATTATTAACTTCCCGTATTTGCATATCATAACGTTTCAAAGCCTTCTGTGGGTCATTTTGGCATACCATAGAAAAAATGGATATACATATGTATGTATGTATGTATGCTCGGATACAGTTTTTGGTCCACGACTTGGAAAATTTCGAATCAACTGATTTGAATGATTCAAAACACATTCGATTCGTATTGACGGGAAAATGCGCTGATTTGTTTTTGGTAAAGGCCGCTCATCCTAAATCCTGCGTTTCGGAGATACAGAGCAAAAAGTGCAGAAAATAACAGTTTTCGGGTGAACGGAGCGTACTATTTGAATTGCTCTTGGGAAGGTGGGTCCTGCGGTTTCGGAGTTTTTAAAAAAGTTTAAAAAACTGCGTTCAAAAATGATCATTAGTCATATGCATATCAAATTATCAAATATTTTACAGAGATTTTAACAAGAAGTTCAAACTTGTTTTCATTTATTTGGACTCCGTTGTTGCAAAGATTTTTCAAAATTTTCAAATTTCTCAAAAAAAAAAATTTAAATCACGATGATACAGGAAGTTCCAGCAATTTGCCTCAAGTCACTATACCATGCAACACTAGTTAAGTTATCAATTAAATTTCTGGAATCGATAGACTATTCTCGTATCAATAAGAGGGAAAGTTTTTCAAGTACCCACTGCCTTGTGCGCCTTTATGGCGATGGAGTACAATATATTAGAAACGCCCCATCGCCGAGCAAACATGAGGGTTCCTTTGCTTTCATAATATGTATATACAATGTACATTTGACCGGTAATACACAGTGAAGAAGCTAACAAAAATATGTATAACTCATATACACCATGGCAATATCTAATAGAAGCGTCGTTGTTCATGGTGCGCGCGCTATGAGTCTGGCCATAATCAAATCGGCAGTAGTTTGATAGAAGCGTTCGAAGCATGTCGTACTGTTTATATTCGCGTATTAAATTAATACAAACAATTCTAAAATACGAGAAGAAAGCAGACATAACGGAGAATTCATCGACGTCTGGATTTTTAAGAATTTTTATGATCTTTTAATAGGTTAAAAAATTCAGCCATCAAGAAACACAAATATTACCAGAGCTCGTAAAAGGATCTACTACCAGTTAGTTGAATTTTTTGTTGATGCCCGTTTTGTGCAAAATAATTTGAATAGACAATTTAGAGTCCTTAATACATTGTGCAAAAAAATTAAATGAACATTTAAATTTTCATCACTACTTTTGGTGATCATTGCTAAGAAACGACCAATTATAATTTTGAGTATATTATTACATTAATAAAGTGGTTAAAGTACTGAATGTTTTCGTTAGTTCATTTGTTTTGAATATATAGAATAATCATTCTAAAAGTGTAGATTATAAAAAGTAAACGTACACACTGAAAAGAAAAATATGAAAATTGAAATGATACAGAGAAAATTATGACACTAATTCGTCAAATAATCAAATTTCAGTTTTTAATAAATAACTCATAGCATTACAGTTTAAAATATAAATGAATATAAAAACATTAAAAAAAATGTTAAAAATACTACCGACCTAAAAAATAACTGTATCCAAACTAAGATCGACACTTAATTTGTACGTTTCCAGTCTTATAATGCGATTTTAACGGATACTATCACTTCTCGGCAGTGGTTTATTTAGATATTAAACACGAACGAGTATTTGTTATTAACAATAACTTCCTGAGTTAAATTTATAATACGTGAGTATTTCTCGCACGATTTGCCAATATATCAATCTGCGAAGCTGATGTATGCGTGATCGCGGTCGAATACAATAAAAAAATACAATGGATGAGTTGAATTATAATCGCTGTTTCGGACCACGCGTGCCATTAGATTTGAATAATATTTAATCAAGCATAACTTGATTAGAATGTTAGTGTATTTAAATAAATGTAAAAATCAAGTATTATATATAATTAGCATTTAAGAGTGCCATAATTACAAAACTGCTTAATAACTGATAAAACATGAACAAGACAATGAAGTGTAGTGTTGAAACATATAAATATATTCAGAAAATTTTAATTTACAATGTGAACAGCAAACAAATCCAACAACATTGCAAATAGATAAACGCTTGTGAAATTACCTAAGTATTTAGAATAATTAACATGAAGACAATATAGTGTCAACTTTCCGCATCAGTGCAAATTGTGTAAATAATTCTGGCTTCATCATGGATGTGACAAACTTAGTATTTACGAAAAAAATATATTAGATAATCATGGAACAAGACGGAATACATAACAGTACTTTGATCGCGTATGAGCCACAGGTGGGTTAAAACAAATGATTGGAATAATCCTAACTATCTTATCCCATGATAATTACCGCTAGTAAATAATTTATGCAAAAAATAATTACCTAAGTCGCAATAAAAAACGTTCAATATATAATAAGTGTGTTATTAAGCACTTACACTACTCTAGACGAAAGATTAAATAAAATATTTATAAATTATTTTAAACTTGAAACCTAACGCAAAATTGACTCTAAATAAGCCATTTGTACTATCACACATAAACTGTTTGGCTACTAAGAATCTCAATTTATCACAATTCAGTGTACCCTTCCATCATTTTAAAATGAAACTAGTGGTGTATGGCATCATGCCTTAAGGCAAATTGCTGGAACTTCCCGTATCGTAATGAAAAATTCGAAGAATATTAAGTAATTTCAAATAGATTATTATAGCCACTGTAACTCAAATAAGTTTACAGAAAAATAAATAAACATAACTTTCAATCGAATTTAAAATGAAGGACATTGTATAATATTTATAAAAATTATATAAACTGAAATGCTAAGTTAAAATTATTTATTTGAAGTATATAATTAAGCTTTACAACTTTAGATAGAAAAAAAATTAAAATTCTTATTATTTTCGTTATTCAATAATTTTTTTTTTGGAAATAAAGAAAAAGTTTTTCTCAAAATCAATCATTTCGTCAACACAAGCAGAAAGTTTTTTGAATCATTCAAATCTGATGCTCCGTTCTCTCAAAAACGATTTCTATTTTCTGCACTCTTTGCTCTGTATCTCCGAAACCACTGGACCTGCCTTTGCCAAAAACTAATCAGCACATCTCCCTATCAATAGAAATTGAATGTTTTTTTAACCATTCAAATCGGTAGATCTGTGCTCCCGAAAACGCGGACGAAAAACTGTATGCATACAGTTTTTCGTCCATATACATAAACACTCACACACACACATATCCATTTGTTTTTTTTAGGTATGCCAAAATGTTCAGAAACTTTCAAAACGTGAATAAATGTAAAAATTTTTGATTTCAATTTTTGGACGATTACAATAACTTACCCTACGGGAAGTTAAAAATACAAAACATAAATAATTTAAATCAGAATTTCTTAATAAATTAAAAAAAAAAAACAATTAAATTTCAAATAGGCGTTGGTGGCATTATGCCTTAAGCAAGTTGCATTTACTTTATGTGTAAATTGTCATATTTCATTCATACATAATCTATAAGAAACCAATATATTAATCTGTAGAGATCATGATCTGTAGAGTTTAGATTAGGAACAATATAGAAAAATATTCTACAATTTTTTGTGCAAAGCCAAACATACAAAATGTATGAATACGCGCTTATTGTAGTGACCGAAAAGCGGGACGTTATTCCAAAATCTAAGGAATTTTTGTTTTTGTCTTAATTTAACTTGTTTTAACAAAATTTTGAAATTTTGACGCGGCTAATTATTCCAAATCTTAATGAATACTCTAGAATATTAGTTAATACCATGAACTTTAGTGCTATGCAAAGTTTCATTAACATCGTCATAAAAAATTAACAATTAAAAAGCCAGGCCAGGCCGATCTTTACTTATTAACCCTTATCGTTTCAAAAGTTTTTGAAATTCCAAAGTCAGTTAAGATTTTTTTTACCAAGAACTAATTATCCTTTAACTTTTGAAAATTTTTTAAATTTTCGAAAACGTTGACAAAAAGTATTGTACTGACATGCTAATCATGAAGAAACGGATCAGATGATCGTCGCGCAATGCTTAACGAAATTTAACAAATAGTTTTTATTCCCACAGTGATAAAAAATACAAATACGATTTTATAAACAATTGAGCTTTTGGAATATTTCGAGCACTAATTGTAATTAAAGTTTTGTTTATAAAAACGAACAGAGCATTTTCAAGACCTCCTGACATCCTCTAACGTCCATCCCATGTAGTGAATTATTATAAACAATTGCACACACGTAGTACTTCATTACAAATTTTAATAACACCATTCGCCAATTTCAATAATCAACCATTTTCAATGATAAAAAATATGTGCGGGACAGAGTTTCTATAATCAGTTATTATAAAAACTCAAATTATCAATTACTGATTTACAATAATAAAATTTCAATAACACCGTTCGTCCTTTTAGTCATCATTTTCAACGATAAAAATATTTTTGAGCCATAGAGTTTCTATAATATTGATTCATAATAATAAAATATTAATAACACTATTTATCCATTTTAATAATATTCATTAATCAATCATTTTCAACGATAAAAATATTTGTGAGATATACAGTGAAATAGTACATGATTTCTAAAAACATTCAAATGTTAACCTTTTGCTATTATGTTTAAAACTTTGAATGAAAATTACGAGTTAAGAGTTTTTGTCAATTAATCACTTGTTTTTATAATATTTATTTTTAAATGAATAAAAAATCTTGAAATTTTCTAAGGCATTATGCCGTATGCGACTAGTTTTAAAATATGGTGTTCCCTCCTATCATAATTCAAGATAATTCCTCGCAAGAAAAATAGCAAAAACATTATTAAAACGCCAGTCGTTAATTATCGACAAAGTACAATAAGATTTATAAATAGACTTGTTACCTTATTTTCTAAAATAAATCACGTAAGCGACTTAATCAAATCCATTCATCGAAGGTTCTTATCTTCTTATCTTATTTTTAGGGTAAGTGAAAGCTAATATACAAGAGTGAGCTTATCCGTGAATTTCAATCCCTTTTCTAATAATTTTCCAACATCGATATATCCACCGATGAATAAGTGGATTATGCGATTATTACGTCTGTTGCGCGATTCTTAATATAGATATTTATCGATGTATAATCTGGGGATAGTATTATTATTACTAATCGTCTGCTAAATCATTTTTTGATAAAGTTTTGCGAGCGTTTGGCAACTTGTTGATAGTACACGTACGTCGTAATATACATGTGATGTTACCAGCTTATAAGTAATTCATTCGCAAATTTCAGATTAAGTTTTTAAATTGAAACTTGTATTGGATCTTCAACTATAATTAAACTAAATTGAATTATAACTTCAATTTATTGATTGCACTTAATTCCAGTATTACAGCTTATTTTTTCACAAGTTTTGCCTTTATATTATTGTGCATAAGAATAAAAAAAACAACTAAGAGACCAAAACTAATTTATTAACATAAAATTAAAAATAAAAGCTTTGCAGTAAATACAGCTCTAGACTAAAAATAAGCCGTGTTAATGTATTGCAATTGTATTCAAAAAATTGCAAAGTATAACAAATAGCAATTAACATTTCTCATTTGCATATTGTTAAAATTTATATAAAAAGCATTAAATTTTATATATGGGCATTTTTTATTTTTTTACGAAGGAGAAGTTTATGTTTTCATAAAAAATCCGATCGCTAATTTTAAGTTTTCTAAACGTTTCTTTTCTTGTAATGAAGTGTTAAAACATTTTTTTTCGACAATTTTCATGAGTTTTTTTTTTGACGGTAGATACTAAAGCCTTATGGATCATACTAAAATATTACGGCCCTACCACATGTCGACTAAATTTAAAAATTCGTCAATGTTTGCAAAAATTGGAATCGTTAATTTGGCGTTTATCAAAATTAGAACTTTCTTCGACGTTTGCTTAAAAACGATTTCTAAAATTTAAAAGCCAATAGATGTATTTCGATGTAGATTATCTTTTCTCAGTTTTGTGCGACGATCGGCTGAGCCGTTTCTTTCTAAATAGCAGAAAAGTGAAATTTATTTTGTCCACGTTTTAGCTTTCAATTCTGAATCGATTTTAAAAAATCAAAAACTTTTCAAAAGATTGATTGGGAATGATATTGATTAGTTTTGGGTAAAAATCTACCGAGCCGTTTTCTTGAAATTAACTGTTGAAAATTTTTTTTGCCAATTTTTATGAACCTTTTTTGGCAATAGATATCAAAACGTACTAAAATGTTACGACGATTTGTTTAATGTTAAAAATTCATCAAAATAAGCTACAATAATTAAATGTGTTTGAGAAAATTCTATTCGAAATCGCAATGCTTAGATTTAATTATAAGTGATAACTTTATTTTTGAAATAAACAGTTGAGAATTTAATCTAAACACTAAATTATAAATTCGATTAATTAAGTCAATTCTTACACATTTCGGAAAGTTCATGAAACTTGCCTTAAGGCTAAATGCCACTTTTTTTGTTAAGTTTCCACGTCAAATTATGTGTCAATACACCTTCGATACATACCACTTTCCAAATGCTAAGCATGTTACAATATCAACTTCGGCACGAAACAACCCTTTAAAAAGAATATTTCCCACTTCACCCTTTCATTCGATTTCATGTGTTAAATATAGAGATCACACTTAAAATATGCTATTTTTTTCAGATTCTTCATCCATTTACCGTGCAATCCAATTATATATTCTGGTCGATGACAGATGGTTTTCTGATGCTAACAATTCTATCTGGCAATACCCTGACAATATTAGCACTACGTCTAAGTCGGCGACTACGAAGTGCAATATCAAACCAGTTCGTACTGAGTTTGGCGGTTTCCGACCTGATTGTAGGTATGACTTTACCTTACCACTTAGCCTTCTATGTCGGAAGCGATCTGGGTAAAGATAAGGCGTGGTGTCTACTCAGATTCGTACTTATCACATTGGGATGTTGCCTATCCATTTGGAATTTGATTGCTATTGCAGTGGACAGATATATCGCTATTGTACATCCGTTACATTATGGAAGGTCAGTTTAGAATGAATTGAATTTAGTAATTAACACTTTCCACTCGCAAATTCCGAAATTTATATGAATTTTGCCGCCGGAGCGGCGACATACGAGTGAAAAGGGTTAAATTTTAATTAGTATATTATCACAGAAAATAAGAAATTGAATAAGTTTTAGGATGATGACTAATGAATGAATAAACTGTATAAATAACAGTCTATTAGGCGCTTGTTTGCCATAAAACGAATTCAAAAATGTTTTGATGAATATAGATGTTTTGATTAATACTATTCGTTTTAAAACAGATTTATAAAACACATCCAGTATTTAGAATATAAATTATAAACCGATGCTACTACTTATAATTGATTACGAATAAATACTATGGATTTATACTTGTAACCCCGATAGAGAAGTACGAATAAAAATTTCACCCAAAAAAAGTTATTTCAGATATGCAATGTTATTTCCAGTGCATTAAATTTAAAAACATAAGCAAAATCTATCATAAGTAAAAAGATTTATTAAATTATATTGAAAAAAAGTATTTTATGTGTAAAACTCAGTCTAATTTTTGCATAAATCTGAAGAAACTAATGGCGATGTATACAGGCTTTTTAAGTGCTTTTTTCTTGATTATTAACAAACGTGCCGAGGTACAAATAGTTTACAAAACAATTTTACAATTTTGAAAATATTCTAATAATAAGCACATATATAATTGCCGCAAACACTAATATTTTCTGATAATATCTTCGAATAAGATCAGCTTGAATTAAGAATTATTTTTAGAATTTTGCAATAAAATAATTCTAGAATTTTGTACTAAATTCCTTAAATAATCATAACATATTCAGAAAGTAAATATTTTCATTAACGCAATGTACTGAACTGTAGAATTAGTCATGTGAAAGAAGTCTCAAAATGATTTGATTATGAATACCGAAATGTTCTCTAAACAAGGGAGATGGATCGATGCGACATAAATTGCATAAATATTGCTGGATGCGACATTCTTTCATTATGTTGATATATACGTCATGTGCATGAATAAGTCAATGACTAACTCATTTGATAAAATCATTAGTTGAAATAATATTCGATTATTTTATTTATAATGACGGGGCGTAAAAATTCATTCATGACATGCCTTGTATTAAATAATGAGACAAATAAATATAAAATAAATAACATTCTTAAGTTCCGCGTTGAAAATTCTTGGAAAATAAAACAAATATTAGAAGATTACAAATTTGTACTTTTCGACACTAAATGCAAATAACATACTAAATGTATATTATATTGTTATCATACAACAACTCTAAAATAATTACAATTCGTAACAAAGAGTATAGAAAAATAATTATTAATGTTAAAACAATATATTTCAAATCAGGAAAAAATATACAAGATAAAAACATTTGTTTATTAGTGACCACAAATCACAACAAATAAAAGTTGGAAATTAGAGGAATATTCAATTATTTTAGCAAACCAGAATTCGTAATTAGACACAACAACTTTCGATATAAAATGAATGCATGCGAAGAATTTTGTTATATTTATGTAGTGTGGGATGAAGGGCCATATTTCGTATAGAAGTTACTTTGTTTTTAATAATTTCGACTATATGTATTCATTTACAGATACATGACAAAAACCGTGGCCCGATCAATATTGGGCTTGGGATGGCTGATGGGTCTCATAATATGCTCCATGCCTCTTTATTGGAATAATTGGGCGTCAGCAAGAGCATGTGAACTCGCAGAAGTATTGCCCACTTATTTCATTGCAGGTATATAGAATTCATTACTAATTGTAAGTATAAGGTAATATATAATATAATCAAATGACTTTCTGTAGGAGTCATAACACCATCGTTTTCGTTAATATGGATGGTGATGTTAGTAGTATATTGGAGAATTTGGAGAGAAGCTGCAGGGCATGCTAGAAGATTAAGAGCAACTGCCCATAATGGTACACCATCAGATTGGAAATCAGTTCAGGTGAAATTGTCTATAATTATTTATATTAAACAAAGGAAATTAATTTCCTGAAGGTATTAATATTTATTCAATTTACGATTTGTATTACATTACTAGGTAATTTTAAAAATCAGTAACTACGTAACTTTAAATTTTTAGGTTTATAAAGATAAATAAATTTGTTATTTTAATAATATCTAAAAATAATTAAATTCGAACTTTTGTATTTTTAAATTTAAGTAAATCACTCTTAATTTCTATTTAATAGGGAAATTTTTCGCAGGTGGTACTATTAATCCTAGGTTCTTTTTCCGTATGCTGGTTACCATTTTTCGTGGTTGCGTGTGCCCAAGCGTTCACATGCCACAACGAGTCATCACCTACAGTTTACAAGGCAGCTTTCAGTTTGGCGATATCAAACTCAGGTCTAAATCCTTTAATATATGCTTGGAAGAATTCAAACTTCCGAAGAGCGTTTGCTCAACTCATACGCTGTCGAAATCCAGACTTAGTTGAACAACAAAGACAGCAGCAGAATCAACAGAATATAATTCAAGAACGCAGAATGACGAACGAATCAAGATTACATTCTCTTCAAGACAACGTGTTAGGAAATTGTAAGCAAAATGAGGTTCACAATTCAAGACAAGGTGATGCAACTAGGCAGAACGGATTTCTGCAATCCAGGCAAAATAGTACCACGGATATAGATATAAACGGACAAAGGGAAAAATGCAATGATGCTGAAAGAGACAGTGCTTATGAATCCGTAACTGATAGTTTGAATAACAGAAGTTCAGCCCATAGAGCTCTGGGCGAGCGAGTTCGTTTGCAAATAATGGTGCAAAATAATGCAGGCTTAGATACTGACTTAGAAACTAATTTGACGCAAAGCAGCGGAGATTGCGTGGTTCTAGAAATATGTTCAGTTAATACAGCCTATGAGAATGATAATTCGAATAGTGCAGAAAATGTAACAAATGAAATTGTTTAATATTCGATTAAACAGTTACACAATTAAGGAAATATAAAATCAATTAATAATTGTGATTATGATGTGGATGTTGTTTTATTTGTTGAAATTATTAAATTTTTATGGTATTTTGTATGGTTTCCCGAGGTAAACTACTGGAATTTAGCATATAAATAAATTAATAAATAGAACTAAAGTGAACGACTTAAAATTTGCCATCTGATATTTGCTATCCAACAAAATTCCAAAACAATAATAATGATAGCACTAAAAAGATGGTGAGAGAAGATAGTTTATGATGCATGTACTTTCAAGATGAATCTAATAATTATTATGAATTAATTGAATAAGTATGAAGTGCATATATATTGTGATATTTTAAATTTGTCATGTGATTTCTTTGTAAAAATAGGTGAACTTTAGTATTGCAATAATCTAATGCTAATTGCGAGAAATAATGTCAGATTTTGAATATATTTTAGGAATATTATGTTGTAAAAATATAGAAAGTATTAAGCTGCAGTATTATTCTTGTAAATAAAAGAATGAAGAAACCAACATTGATTCTAATTACTATAGCCCAAATACTAAAATATACTATGACCCTGAGATACATTATAGCTCTCTGTTGTTGCTATTGTTGTTGCATCATAGTTTCAGTGTTATTTTTCATACTTCTCAGATCGTACAACAATTTAAAAATTACAAAAATAATTCTAAAAAGATTCTTTTCATATAATTTCTAATTTAATCCATACACATAAATATATCACTAAGACTGATATGTAAGTTAGTTATAGTTATTTTACTAGAAAATGCCAGTGAAATAATTTTCACTAAGTTTCAGCTAAACTAACCAAATCCATAATTAAAAATTAAATAATCACTTACCTCAATTCCTGTAACCCCAAGTGCTTTTTTCAAGTTTGGTGTCATCCTGAATGGTACTTTTTCAGGAACTCTGAGTGTACGTCCCTTTTCAAAGCAAACATTATAATCAATATGTACTACTTCACCAGTTCCTAATTCTACTAAAATATTATCCAAATGTCTATCACCAAGGCCTATGATATACCTGCAATAAATATATATTCAATCAGACCAAATCAAGAAAAATATAACAAATAAGTACACTTAATAAAATATAATTCCACGCATCCGTATTTTTCAGAATTGAATCAAAATAAAAAACATTTTATTTGTAAAAAATGTAACCAATATATAATTGAATTATATCAATCGTTGATTATACAAATGTAAAAATAAAAAATATGTAGTTATATTAATATCTCATCAAAACTTACCCAATAACACTCATAACAGCTACACTTCTGGCATAACTCAACTGAGCCTGTCTCCATTGCGCAGCACTTTGACTGCAGCACCAAATTTCCTTGCTCAGTAGATCATCAGGTGTGTCTGCACTCAACTCTTTCAAGACTTGCTTCAAAACATCCAATGGCCATTCTTTCCGATTTGCTGTGCTCTTTATACCCTTTTCCCTCAGCAAGGGGTTTAATTTATTGTAGAATAATTCTGTTGGTCTTAGAACTGCAGAAGTTTTATTTTCATTGTTGCCAGTGTTATTTTTTGTTAAATTCAATAATTCGCGTTGCTGCCATCGTTTGTATAAACCAAAAATAGGAGTTACTTCATCCACCCAACTGATTAGACCAGATCTTGTTCCTAAAGGAATTACAGAGTAGTGCCTGGAAAAGAACAATGCATATGTATTACAAATCAAAAATTAAATATAAACTGCACAATTTATTTTGGTGACACACATTATATATATATATATATATATATATATATATATATAATAGAGAGAAAGAGAGAGAGGTAGGTAGGTAAAACATTAAGTTCATTTTTTTAAGCCAGTCGTTCAATCAATAATTAAATTTAAATTTATATAAACAAATACATAAATTACACCTACCTTGCTCGATATGTTTGGGCAGAATCTTTTCTAGACATCATTGTATTAGCTATTGATAAGAACTGCATGATCCTTTCATCTAAATGTAAATCTTCAACTCCTTTGAATAAATATGTATACTTTTTGCCATTACTACCATAGAATATCAATTTTTTAGGTTTGGTTTTGGTTGGTAGAACAGAAACCATATTCTCAATGGCAACAATGGTCACAGGATTTTTGCTTTGTAATCCAGGCATAGAAATTACAGTGTTCTTCAAATTATATAAAGCCGGACTAATTTCTGACATTTTCAGATTGTATGAAGTTTTCTTGTGAGAACGTTGTTGCAAACTGTTCTGCAAATTTTTAATTGGTGCCCAAAAACCTTGATATGATTTTGAAATATCTACTGGTTGTCTTAAATTCTCCAATATATTTTCAATGGAAGATAAATATCTAAAAATAAAAGAGAGATAATTTAGCTAAAAATTTATTTCACAAACTAATATAAAAGATTGCAATTCATATATTTTCTGAGAATTCGGTAATGTTGAATTAAATTTGATTTAATTTATTAAAAATAAAATCATCAAATAGACTTTGTTACTATTTACTTGCTATCAGTATAATTTTTTAAAAAAAAGCTTTAACATTATACCTTTCTTGAAATTGTTCTTCATTTGGTGTTTCCGGAGTCTTTGAAGTAGCATTGTGCAATTGCTCCAAAACAAATAGCAATTGTTTCATAATAATTCTATATTTTTCTGTCACGATTCTTTCTTTTTCTGATTCATCCAAATTTTCATTCTTCTTCAATCTGCTGAGTTCATTCTCTAACTGAGATATACGTCTTGCAAACTCACCATTTAATTGTGCCAATGACATTAACCATAATTCATCCCACAAAAGTGTAATTCTACGTAACTCTGATACCAACAATTGTACTTGCTGAACAGTTTCAGGCGCTTGATTTGATAATGTATCAACCATACTTGCAAAACAAAAGTTCAAGGTTGCATCCTGCTCGACGTCTTCCATTTGTTCAGCAGTGGATATGCAATCATTATCATCTATATCATCATTATAGACTTCAGAACGCATGGATAAATCTGTCACATCTAACTTTTGAACCTAGAAATGTAAGTAAAACTTTATTTGTAATTTGATATATTATTCACATATTTATAAAACATTGAATCTAGATCTGAATTATTAAAAAAAAATTCATATTGTTTTGGTGCAAAATGACAATATATGACATTTTTGAATACCTGAGATGCACCTACAACTGCCGGAAATGTAATAAGTTGTGGGGAATCTTCAGCAACTCGACATAACAATTCAGATAGTCTTTTGCGAACATAAGTTTCTGGATGATCCAATCTGGAGAATAATTGAGGTGTGATAGCTTTCCATGGTTTTGTGGGCGTTACTGCTAAACCTGATTCCAACACCCCCTATTAAAAAGTACAGTAGTAACATCCAATCAAAATAATCATTTAGATCAGTAACAGGACACATATCTTAACTATATGTATAATTGAAATTTTACCTGCAATCCCATAGCATGTTTTACTATTAACCGTAAAAGTCTTAAAGTAGCGCTAACAGAAGCACAACTTTGTTCATTATTATTTGCTGCTGATAGTTGGAGATATCTATAAATAAAAAGGCATCACCAAATTGTTATCTATCATAACTAATATATACGGATATATGGGTAGTACTGCCCTAAGGCAGGCCTGTGAGCTGAGTTAAACACCAACTCGATTCCGGGAAAAGGAAGTGTGAGAGTTTTCCCACTATTTATATATATATATATATATATATATATATATATATATATCATCAATTCTATTTGATTTAATTTAATTAATGCAATTAGACTAAACAATTAATTCTTAATTTTAATTAAGTTTAATTAAATTAAACAATTTATAATATTTACCTGAAATAAGCATCAGCAGCTAACTCATAATATCCATACATTCTTTTTTGTGACTGCTTCCAAATATTCACTAACACTAGAATATTTTCCCGTGACATATCACTCAAACAAGGAACATCCATTAATTGAGCTTCGATCATATCACTGGTATTAATAACATTTGTGTCAATGTCTTCTTCATCAACTATGGATCTGGTCTGAGTTAGAATATTTATAATTCTTTCCATTTGCTTTATGTCAATATCAGAAGGCATCACAGATTTAACTTCCGCTTTATCAGAATCAGAAAGACTGGTTGTTCCTAATTCTATCATTTTCCTGCCCCATCTGTAAGACCAATTTCCTAACGCATTCCATGCCTTTGCCAATTCTGGGCATTGCCTTACTGCGCTCTTCAGTAGTTTTCCTACAGCACCATCCAATATAGGAACAACTCGATCATGTAAATTATTGCTTTCAGCCCCTATATCTGGCAAAGCAGTCACTAAACGAGTAAGAGGTGCTGTCAAATCCGTTGTCAAAAGTTTATCTGTTTGCAATTGTATCCACTTAGCCAAAGTAAGTAAAATTCTTGATGATCTTTCTTTTAATGTGTGCGCATTTTCATTAGTTGAAACAAGCTTTTGACAAATTCCTAATGAAGCTCCTGCAGCTAATTGAATTGCTAATTCTCTATTTTCTGATGTAGCATGAAGAAGTTTAGCAGTTTCAGATATGGCCCTGGAATTTTCTATTGTCCATATTTTAGTAGCATCAATTTGAATTGAATTATTGATAATAAAATCTGTAACATTTCCTAAGTTTCCATTCGTAAAAGTAAAGTCATTTGATGATAAGAAATGTTTCTGTAACAGTTTTTTAGAAAGCTTGAAATTTCCTTCTCGTCTTGCTGCAGCAACAGTTTCTAATCTAAGATTTACAACTTCTTCAGTGAAGCTACCATTCAATGAATTAAAAAATTCAGTCCACCATAATACTTTATTCAGAAGCGTTGAGCTGTGCCTGTTATCAAACGGAACAATTTTGAAAACTGATGTATTATTTCGCAAAAGTTCTTGCAAACCATATGACACATTTTGTAGAAGCAAAGCTTGAGTGAGATATTCTGAAGGGGGGTCTCGAATGCTTTCTTGAATACAACCTTCAGCAGTT